TAGCAGCAGTAGGTGGGTGGAGGGGTTAGCCCCGGTTATCGATCTTCCTAGTATAAGTAGTAACCTTAGACCTCCATAGATGGTCATCGACCACTGCTAATCAGTGGGGTTCGGAATGGTAAGTCTCGCCTAGATATCCCATTGAACCGGGATAGGAAAGATAATTTACACAGAAAGTACTAATAAATTATCCTCGTAGTTCTAAGTACAAGTATCCAGGTAAGTGAATACAGGATAATGCACCTATGTAAAAGTGATTCCTGTATGGTATTCATGTAAGTGTGTTCATGTAACAGGTATGTATGTGTATATGTACTCATGTATCAGGTAATGTACTAGTATGAACTCATGAATGAACTGACTCTTGTGTGACTCCTTGTAATAGGAGTAATGTTTGATATCCGCAAATTATCCCTATGATAATTTACTGAACTATAATTGGTTAATCATGTAGGTTTATACACTCTTATTACTCAAGGGTGTGGGAAACAAAATGAAAGATGTAAACTATAACATCAATACATATATAAGAATATAAGTGTATATGCATAGTTTAGTTCAAGAATGTAAAATGGTTTTGTAAGACATCTTATGGGTTTTGAACAATAATTAACAATGACTTGATGTCATTTTTAATATACATTTCAAAGGTAAAACATTTGATAATAATGTGTTTTTAAGATTTAAAACCATTTCATGCATCACATTTTGTAGTATGTGAAATCTGTTAAATGACAAACACAGTTATAAAATACATAACAATGATTTAATAACATGTTTGTTTCTACTTGTATTCCCCCCTTTAAAGCATTTAAAATCATTTAAAACATTGATTAGGGGTATGAACTCACCTGTAGTTGGTGATTGGGATGAACTGAACGGTATAGGATTGCTAGGTGTCAAGCGAGGACTTGTACACACACTACGATCCTAATGAACATATAATCACACATATATGCACTCAATTAGTCTCAAATCACTAATTGATAATGTTAAGACATCCTAGACATAATAAACACTTTATATAAGTGTTTTAGGCCCTAAGGATTGCATCTAAGCTAATGTGGGACAAGACACTTTTGTTTAGGGTTCCAAAAGACCCCATATATGAGTTTACTCCTCATATACTAACACACATGGAGTTTACGGTTGTAAACTCTTGAGTTTACAGCCGTAAACTCCCAACCATGGGTGTTTTGTGTGTCTTGAAGTTCCAAATGATTCCTAGAATTATTCCAACTTGGTGGTTCAATTCTTGAAAGGGTTTAAGGTCTAGAAACACTCCATTTAGGAGTTTACGGCCCTAAGGCCATTTCCTTTGGAGTTTACGGCCGTAAAATCCCTTGGAATGGTGTTCTTGTTGTTTTCAAGTCTCAAGCATAGGTGGTATAAGTTCTAGGCTTTTATTCCAAGCATATGAAGACATTAGGCACACTTTGGTGCCATTCTTTCATGTTTACGGCCCAAGAACAAAGTCTTGGCCGTAAACTCACTTTGATAAGTGATTTTGATGTGCTTAAGGCCTTAGATTAAATGGGAACAAGTCTTGATAAAAGTCTTAAAGCTTTAGGTGCCTTAAAACACCATTTTGGGTTTGAAAAGGGAGTTTACGACCTAAGAAACTCTTGGGCCATGAACTCCCAAACTTGGGTGATTCTTGGTTATTTTCTTGTCCCTAACACACATACATATGAGTCTAAGGCATTTGCATAACACAAGGGTCAATCTTGGCTTTGTTTCGGGAGTTTACCGCCCAAGAACACCTTGAGGAGTAAACTCCTAGATCTAATGATTTAGCCATCTAAATCATGTTATAAGCACATAATAAGCTTTCTAACACTACTAGAAAGAGTTACTCACGTTTTGGGATAAAAACCCGAAGATCCGTGAGAGAGAAAATGGCTTTTCTCTCGTTGGAAATGTGAATAATGAATGAATTTGGTTCAGAATTCTATTTATAGTTCTGAGATATTTTTGGCAGAAAATATTTTTATTCCTGAAATGATCTCTAATAAAATAAAGTGTTGGAATAACAGTGTTGCACAAAACCCTAATGCACCCACTCTCCTGATATTTCCTGAAGTGTAAACCCTGAATTACTCAAACTTACGCGAAAAAGTCTGAAAATTAACTGTGACTGCTATAACTTCTATTGAAGTGATATAGTTTGTACAGAATGGAAATTTCGGGTTGTCACAAAAATGACTCTCATGGGAGTACGCAGTGCCAGTTCGTCAGGCACCTACTCTAGAGGCAGCTATTTGGGCTGCCAAGTCTGTTGAGTACGCAGTGCCAGTTCGTCAGGCACCTACTCTCATGGGAGTACGCCCAGCGTACGGCGAGGCCTCAACCTCCTATAAATAGGATGCGAAGGTTCCGAGCATATTTGCTCAATTCTTCTCTTTTTCGTGCTGAAGCTCTGCGTGTGAACCCCCGAAGCCATCGCGACACCCCGGATCTCATATCCAAGTTAAGAAGGAAGTTTTACGCTCCCGAGATCCCGAGAAGTGCGATTCCCAAGCCGAAGCTTTGCCTACGAGAAGTTCGATTTTTGTAGAGATCTTCCAGATCTACCGAAGAATACTACTATTGTAAGCCGTAGTGCTGTCCGATCATCTTCTGATAAAGTGAGTGTGTGGTTACTTTCTTCTAACGCATAATTATGAAGTATTTTATACGAAAGACGTGTTATGTGTATATTTTGTGTTATATGTGTAAATGTATATTCACTTTCTTCTATCTCATAGATATGATTTATTCTCTATGAAATACGTGTTATGTTTATATGTGTCATCTGTTATTTGGAATATGTATTGAATGAGAATGTTATACAGGTTTTAAACTATGTATAAAAATGTATATTTTTATCTACTAATATGTTGGGTAGAACATGGGTAGATAGTTGGTTTGTAATAAACAGATGAGAGGCGTCGATGTTGTTTTTGATCCAGGCATCTAGCGGAGTTTAGATGACGACCACAAACTTTTCTAGACAGTCCTGTGGAACGCTACCAAGTTCGCCACCTATAGGTGTTAATGAACTTGGGTGTTCATTCGCTGTACTCCATCCCCCTCATGGTTGCCTTATTTGACTTATATTGCTGAGGAACCCCCGAAGCATGTGTTGTCGCCCCGATGAAATATTCTAAGACTAGGTCCCTTGTGTTAGTTGTTTTAGGGACGTAAAGTGAGAATAACGGGAATGGGTAATTGGGTTATTGTGGTTGGTGGAATTAAATATAATTATTTATTGTGGGTTGAAAACCCTATATGCTCACCAGGCTCCCAAGCCTAACCCACTCAATTTATTTGTATTACAGGAAGTGGTGCAAGGGCATAAGATGGATGAATCATCAAGTTGTTTTGTTTACAAGTCTCTATATGTATATATTTGTTGAATGACTTGTAATGTTATCGTTTATGTTTTATGGTCTGTATCGGAACATAACATCCCGAGTTTTGATTATATAATGAAAATACATTTCTTTTATGAAATGTTTTGGTAAATATTATTTTATCACGTTTTGTTTTTGGGAACAAATTCGGCAACTCTTTCAAATCAAAAAGATTTACTCTGAAATTATTTTAAAAGCATAAATGAAAATCGATCTTTTCTGGCCGAGATTTTGGGAATGTCACAAGTAAAAACAAAACAATGTGAATAGGTGTGACAGTTAGATATTATAAACGAAATTGTCTTCAAAATAAAGAATAATAGATTGTATTTAGGCATTTTGTGATCAAATATGATTTTCTCATTATACCTTTATAAAATACAAATACTATTTTATGTATTTTTCTCTATTTAAATATGTAGTATATAGAAAGTCTAAACTTTTTATCTCTTAGGTAATTATTATGTTTCCTTTGCTATTGCATACATTTTAATCATTGTATATGAATCGATTAAGTATTATTATGTGTGTTTAGATGTTAATACTTTGTTTAGTTTATAACATGATTTATTGATTTTTATTGTTTTTTTAATTTTCAACATGCAAATAAACAAATGATTGCAAATAAACAAACGATTTTATAAAATGTATATAAACACGTATTATATAAAAAATTATTCAAACATGTTTTTATAAAAAAATATAATAAACAATTTTATAATAAAAATATAGATACACACCTATTTGTGTGCATATATATATATATATATATATATATATATATATATATATATATATATATATATATATAAAGGTGATAGTGTTTGTATACATTTTTTTTATAAAAACTGATTTGTATATATTTATATACTTAATAAATACATATTTTTATAACTAGATATTTCATATGTAAAAAAGTTTTTTAAAAAAAGTTTTTATATAGAAAATATAAGATTTTGATGTGAAAATACATTTTTTTTGTATAAATATGATTTCATAAAGAAAAAACATATTAGAAACAAATTTTTGAGAAAAAAAAAGTTGTAAAAAAATTAAAGTTATGATGAATTCATAATAAAATTTTAAATTTGGGCCAAAAATATAAATTTTGGACCAAATTAGTAACTAAATTTAAAATTTAGGGCAAAAGTGTAAATTTTTAACCAAATTTGTAATAAATTTTTAAATCTGGGTCAAAAATATAATTTTTGAAAGTTGGATAACCTGTTGACCGAGTCAAATGGTTAAATTGAATACGATTACTGGTATTTGAAACTTAATTGAATAAAAAAAATTATAAATACTAAATCGATTATTATGAAGTTAATATGTAGGAACTTTATTGTAGTTTAGGATGTTACAACTAAATTCCAAAATAGTGGATCAAGAATAATGGGTAGGTCAATCTAACCCAAACCTGACATACCTAGCATGTATGTATTACTATTCATAGATTACAAGCAGCATGGTTGTATTCTACTTCAATTTTATATATATATATATATATATATATATATATATATATATATATATATATATATATATATATATATATATATATATATATATATATATATATATATATATATCAAAACAATAACTTTATACACCCTAATACATACCTTATAAACTTTACAAAATTCAGAACTTTTTTTTTAGCTCTCCATTGTCAACTTAATTACAGGATGTATTTTCACATGCCATCACTTGTTCCTACCAGAGCTCGGTGTAACACTACGACCCCTAAGAGATGCAGTCCGTGAACACGAGCCTTTCTCTTCTATGGACGAATGGGTTAACTCATAATTGCAACTCCTTCCACGCGTTAACTTTGGTGATTTGGCACGTGTCACAGGCATCTGCAATTGTAAAAAAAAAAAACACTTAAAAACATCTTTTTATCATACTATATATTGTTTTTATTTTAAAATTTACCTTTTTATGTTCGACCTTAGGTGGAGGTCCTTCACGATAAAAACTTGGAACAGGATGTGCTTTAACAAATAAGCTCCTTCGGAATTCCTTTAGAGCAGCTTCTTCTTCCTCCTACATTTGTTTTCTTATTTATTTTTCTTAAAAATGTGATCATACATAAAAAAAAACATGTTTAATTAATTACCTTGGCTCTCATTTCGGATTCTATCTTTTCTGCCTCCAAAGCTTGCTGCTTTTGCTCCAATTTCATGTAGTACTAAGCAAAAAGAAAACCAGATATATACAAGTATAGAATTTAATTATGAAGTCTGTATAATAATAATCTTTTTTATGGTATTATAACTAAGAATTACCTCCCTACGTTTCGCAGCACGTTCAGCGCTTCTAAATGAGGGAGCTGTTCCAACTGTTAATCCCATTGCTCGAGCTCTGGCCTGATATATAATATACAAATCAAGAATGAAGATGAATCAATATATCAGAAGAAGTTAAATTTGGGAAATGATAAATTGTGAAGATAACGTCAATGATAGTATGGTTTTAAGAACCGCTTAAGAAATATGTTTACCTGTGCTTCATCGTCCTCGCTAGCATCCCTACCCATCACCTGCAGGAATAAACGTAAAAACACAAGCAAGATCAAGCATTCTGTGTAAAATTACTCGAGTTTCAATCATCATATACGGTTAAGTACGTAACAAGGACAAAAAACAGAAACGCTAAAGTTTATGCATGTGGGAAGAACATTCACATTTACACACGCAACAACATTGAAAACGATTGATAACAATTCACAGCAGGTTGAAAGGAAAACGATAAGAAACAAAAATGGGAGATCGATCAAAGTTTTACATACGAGGTTGATGTGTGCTCTGATTTGTCACAACCTGGAAGGGAAAATCTTTGTTTGGGTTCTTCTGAAAAAATGAAGAAACAAAAACCGAAGTTCTTCTGCGGAATCTCTCTTGAGGAGAGAATCAGGATCTAAATTACAATGGCGCATGTCGATTCTCCATTCTTGAAACCGTTATTGTCGGTCTGTTGTTCATTTGCATGACTAGCTTCTTCGATTTGGTGATACGTAGGTACAAAAACGTTGAACAACCCGTGAAAAGGTATGTACAATTCACCAATGCGATTTGGTTTATGAGTTGAAAACTCTCTATATATTTAAGCAAAATTACAAAAATGGTCCATAGGTTATCATTTTTTATACCGATTGTTTAAAAGTTATTTTATTTATTTATTTTTTATTTTTCAAAAAATGTCACTATGTCATAGTTTCGTTTCCTTGGTCAAAATAAAAAAGGAAACGGATCGAAACAGACATGGATTTAGTAAATATACTTTTGAGGGTTCCGTGTAATCAACTTATGTTATGAGAAATCGACGTGGTAATATATATATATATATATATATATATATATATATATATATATATATATATATATATATATATATATATATATATATAGGCTTAGGTTATTTTGTTTTTACTAACTATTGTGTGTCAGAATGCACAAATCTGGACCACCGGATGAATAGAATCAACAATCATGATTTGAGGGTCTATGATATTACAATAGGGTAGCATGTATCATATAATCACACAAATTTCAGCAAAAGGGCATTTTAGTCTATTAACTTATTTTAAAAAATGAAAATTTCGGATTTTAAGGGATCCTTAATTCCCTTAATTTTAAAAAATTTGAATTTTTTAAATTAATTCAAATTTAAAAATCCGATTTTATTCTATCAGAATGACTGAATGCCAACCATAAACTAGTAAATATATTTTTCGATTTTATTCTTACAGAATATATTTCCAATACATGTATTTTTGAAAATTAACCTGATTTAAGAATTCTAGATTATTATTCATATATATCCAAGTTGGGTCTATGATTTTATTCTTAATACATATCCGAAATAAAATACAAATTCATACATATTCTTACGGACTAATATCCTTATACATTTTAATATATTTATACATATTCTAACAGAATATCATCAAAAATGAATAAAATTCTTAAAAAATAGCATTCTTGAATTCAGTGGTCCATATAATCCACTTGATCTTCGCATATATACTTGTTATTGAACTCGATTCCAAATATTTCTCTTTGTATGATCAATATTGAATTCATTCTCCATGAAATTCTGAAAGAATAAAATACATTACTCGTTAGTTTTATGTTAGTATTACTAGTTAAACAAAAATACTTGTTGTTAACAAACATTCTCAGAAGACATTCTAACAGAATGCATATATATAAATAAATTCTAACAGAATACATTAATCGTTAGTATTACCAGTTAAACAAAAATACTCGTTAAAAAACATTCTCAAAAGACATTCTAAACATAATGCATATATATAAATAAATTATAACAGAATATATAATAGAATGCACTTAAATCATATTATTTTTTTCTATATGCATAAACATTCTAAAGCATGTATAAATGTATTGTGTCAAAATTACTAGCAACACATGTTTTATGTAATATTTATATTCTCATAGAATGAACATTTGTTTCATTTGTTTGCATTCTAATATGAACCAATCCAAGTAACACATAATTGGAAATTAAAATTAAGAAAAAAAATAATTCACGAAAACTAATGGGATTCAAATTGAAAGAGATCACCAAGTGAAAGAAACATACATCATCCCAAATTGAAGCTAGATCCTCTGGAGTTTGAAGCTTTTCTCTCTCAACATTAATGAAGGATTCCAATGGCTTGTGCTTCAATGGAGTGAAGCCATAAGCAAAGCTTGAAAAGTTGCGGGTGGGAATTGAAACCCATTTGTGAAAGTCCCCTAGAATGGAATGCTTTATTTCGGACTCTCTTCCCACAGAATTGGTGAAGAATGATTGTTTTCTGAAGAATGATGAATGATATTCAGCTGAAGATAGTGCACTTCTTGTGAGTTTGATTGCTACACATAGCATGGTGATTCTCTGTTGTGCAATCTAAAAGAAAAAGTTATAGATCTTGCAGAGCTATACATAGAAGATATCAAGAAACAAAGTGTAACTCTTTTCATAGTAATAACTATAGATCAAACACTATTTGAATATTTCCCAATTGAAAAGTTTCATGTTTGACATTGACAATCAAAATGCAGCTCTTACTGTTGCTACAGAGAGAGAAAAAGACATTTCGAGGTTGGATTTGAGTATACTTTAACCTAAAAGCAACACGTGTCTTACACAGGACTGATCAAACTTCTTACTGGCATTTCGTCAAGCAGTTGTAATGCATCATATGTATGAAACATCGGTTATTAGGCAAAAAAGATAGAAACAAGCATAATCATGAGGAATATAGAAAGACGGATAGTCAAGCTAACTGACCTAGAGCCTTTCTGGTTTTCTTCTTTATACTGACTTCCTCTGCATCCTCAAGAACCAAATTCATGTACTCATCAAAACCCTACATCAAACAACCAAGCATACGAAAAATAATCAGGAAATTTAAATAGCCATATCTGGATATGCGCATTCTGTTTCACACACAACATAAAACTCAGAAAATCAGCCAATTCGTTCAAACAAACCATTGAATGAAATTCAAAACGTGAGTAGATCTTACACTTTGAAGGAATCTGGATATCAGGTTCTGGAATTAAGAGGAAAAAGTTAAAGATTCTATTAGTCGTAACTTCAAATAAAAGTTAAAATGCGGGAAATCAATTAGGGTTGCCAGTTAATTAAGTTGGTTTTGGAGAAGGAAAGAATATGTACGATAAGTTGGGTCATTATCCTCTGAACTTTAGTCGCCATGGCTGCTTGTTGAATATGAGACAGAGATCTTCACCCGAGTCTTTTGGTTTTTGGCTGAGCGAAAATATGAATCTTCAATCAAACAATTAATCTTCAATTGATTATGTTATCAAATCTGGAAGTGGTAGTTGTAGAATAGAGAAGAAGAAAAAAATGGTATTACCGTCCTTTGAAGGTGTCCTCTCTGATGTTGTTTTTAATCGATCTACAGGGGTGGTGGGAAGCGGTGAAATCGATTTAGGGCTAATGTTTTATATTTATCATTGCTTCTTGCGTGATATAAGGAATTGTTGTTGATCTACCATAATTAACTATGCAAAGATTACTATAATATCCTTAAATGATTTATTTAATGATTTATTTGTTCCTAATTTCCTATTGGTGCATTCATGCACACAATAGTTGCTAGAAACATTTGAACCTAGCTCTCTCTCTCTCTCTCTCTCTCTATATATATATATATATATATATATATATATATATATATATATATATATATATATATATATATATATATATATATAGATCAATGTTTTAAATATCGGTTTGAACCGGCCGGTCGAACCGGTTGGACCGGGAACCGGAAGAAGGAGCGGTTCAACTATCACCGGTTTTACATTGATTTTTAAACCGGATTGAACTGGCGGTTTTTAGAAAAAACCGGTTGAACCGGTCAAAATAAACCAGTTGAACACGTTAAACTGAATAAAAACACACGAAAAAAACCATTTACATTATAAACTTTGGTGATTTTTTTTCAAATATATTTAGTTTTCTCTAAATAAAAACATATGGTAAATGTTATAGATTCTTTTGATGTGTTTGTATTCATCAAAAACTATATTTTGTTTCGGTATTATACTTTATTTTCTTTTTGACTTATATGGATTGATGTAAAACGCTAAAACCTATGGTTAAGTGTTATTTTAATATATTTGGATTAATTTACAATTTATTTTTATGTGTATTTTGAATGTTTTAGCTTGTAAACATCAAATTCATAATTTTTATATGTATGTATGTGGAGAAAAATAGAAAAAAAAAACATAAAAAATATAGAAACCTGTTCATCCGGCGGTCGAACCGGTTAAACCGAGAACCGATCACCATACCGGTTCAACTAAAAAACCGGTTTTTAAAACATTGATATAGATAGAGTTAGGTTATAATGTTGATGGACAACTATTATTTATACAAACGTGTGGATAATGCTATTCTATGATAATTACTAAGAGAATGAGTTATTTAGTAATTTAACTACGTTCAATCTTATATAATATCGTCATTTTCATATATTCTCACTAATTATTATTCATTTGTGTTTTTACATATCGTTTTTTCCTCATTTTCATTCTTACAGAATACAACTCAATAAACATTCTGACAGAATGAGAATAATAATAAAAAGTCTATAATATCCTTATAGACGATTTAATTTGTGAGAATAACAATAGTCATGTAAGATTGAACGTATTTATATTATTAAACAACATATTTTATTTGTCATTGTCACAGAATAGCATTGTTCATACGTCCGTACAATAGATGTCAATCCACATTTGAACTTAGCTCTGTGTGTGTGTGTGTGTGTGTGTATATATATATATATGTGTGTGTGTATATATATATATATATATATATATATATATATATATATATATATATATATATATATATATATATATAAGATCAACGACACATTCATTTTCTAGGAGCGAACCAACGAACTTTGCATCTTGCTTGTCTTTCTCCCTCTTGTTGTTCGACAGCCACACCAAAAAATAGTTCTTCCTTGCATCTTAATTTTAATCGATTCACAAAATCGATCGACACCCATGACTCACCCCAAAACGGCATATGGTCGGAGATGTTGCAATGCATTGCATTGAGATTTTTAATTGTGCAAGTATAGAGATTAATGGAGAAGATAAAAACAATGCATCTATCAAATCCATATGTTTATTTTTCAAAGCTTCATTATCAGTCACACCCCTCAACGAATTCACGTTTCCTTTCCTTCTTAAAGCATGTTCGAAGCTCAAACTACTCCCTTATGGCCAAATGCTTTGAAGATGTGGGTGTCTGTAGACTCAGACTCAATAAAACGAATATTACTTTTTGTTTTAAACAATATAACTTGTGCTATAAGCATTGACTCTTAAGCTCCCATGATGATGTGTTATTGGATATGAGTATGATGGAGGCTAAATATGGTTCATTAATGGAGTTTGAGAGACACACATAATTGATAATA